TGGCCGCGTGGACACGCTGATACGGGGCTTTAGTGTGTGCCCCGTGTAGCACCCATCCTAATTCTGTGAGCGAGGCAATTTGCTGGTGCGGCGGACCTCTTCGGATTTTAGTGACTATCAGAAGTCTCCAATTGTCCTGTCCTATTAGGATCCTTGGGTTGCCGGAGTCATATATTAGCTGCTCCTTTATGTCTTTCAAGTGGTTGCACTTGGCTATGTCTACTGCACGCACAGTCTGTGGCCCCAAGTTTAGGCTTTCAACCGTGCGTGCTCTGAATGGCACCCTTTTTCTGTGGAGACTCTTCAGCGATACTTTGATTCTTCGGGATTCCGGTGAATCGAGGGTAGTGTTCCCGATAGCGGTGATCTTAAACGGGTCCAACCGCCCTGTAGCTCCAATTTGTTTGGCTATCTCTTCATCCATTAATGAAACTGTTGACCCATCATCCAGCAGGGCGTGTGTGTTTACAGCTCCCGCCGGTCCAATTACTCGCACTGGAATTATTTTTAAATAGGCTTGATGCTTTGACACAGCGAATGAGTTAGCAACAGTTTCTTGAGGTTCTTTTTGTTTGACCTCAGTGTTCTCCTTTGTATTGTTATGGAGAAGTCGATTGTGTGTCGCGGTGCATCCTTTTATTCCACACTTATTGGTTTTGCATTTGTGTGTCTGATTTCGATAACGTAAACAGCGGAAACATAAATTATTTTGCTTTGCGAGTTCCCATCTTTTGTTGATATCTGCTTCTTTAAATTGCTTGCTCGGTAATAAACTCGCTGAAGAAGCCGAGGTCTGGTCTAGAGTCGTATTTTTCAGTGTAGATTCTATACCACTGGGCACGTATAGAGTTTGGCAGTTTGTCGGTGAGGTGTCGTAGCAGCTCCGCGTTGACGAGGTAATGATCTCGCTTTAGGGCTCTAAGAGTGACGACGCTTCCCCTCACTTTGCTCGCTAATGTGCAGATGTCTCTGGGCGATTCTGTACAGCGTGCTAATCCTCGTAACTTCTCGGTTTCTGCTTGTGCGATTGAATCTGGACGCCCAAATTGTAGCTCCAGTTCTCGCATAATCTCATCTGGTTTAGCATGCCCGATGAGTTCTGAACTGACTGTTTCCAAGGCTCCTCCTTGTAGACTTCGTCTTAGTCTAGCAGTGTTTTCAATGTCATTGAAGTAGCCTCGGGTTGTTTCGTAAATGGCACGGAATGAAAGCCACTCGGTATGTGCTCCGCTAAAAGCTTGGCAGTGTCATTATAGCTTTCGACGCTGCGAAAGTATGCGACGATAGTGGCGCACTCTCTAACTTTGGTTTGTCAGCGAGCGCGGCTATAGCGGATGTGAGCTCCGATATAAACGGACGGAGCCCCCTGTCTTCCCTTATGACAGTTTCCTGGCTAGGTTTCTTTGGATTGGGATCCTTTTGTACATCTTCTGGATAGGAATCCTGGTTTGTGAGCTCTGATACAATCGGTAGGAGCCCCCTGTCTTCATCAACGGTGGGTTCCTGGCTGAGCTTCTGTGGCATGGGATGCTTTTGTGCATCTTCTGGATAGGAATCCTGGTTCGTGAGCTCCTTTTGGGGCTCACTGAGGTCGACAACGTCCGGGGTCGGCTTTGTAACGGTTTTATTAAATGGTGCCTTCCCTCCGGTGATTGCGCCTTGATTTGACTTTTGTTTGGCTACAGAGTTTTCGAGCCAAGATCGAACGTACTCACTTTTGGAGTGACCATCTTCATCATAGTCGTCTGATTCGTCTTCTTCTTCAGCCATCTGTAAGGAGATCTGCGCAAGTTCTAGTTTGATCTTCAATACTTCTTCACGAGCCTTCAGAATTCTTCTATTGGGCCGAACAGTCTTCTTTGACTTCGTACTGCAATCGGTGTGGCCCCTCGGTGGCTCTTCGGTGTGGGTGTCTTCCCGGGCTGGTGGCGATGATGCACGGCTAAAGTCATCGTTGCCTTCTATATGTTCCCTCTGCTTCGTTGTGCGGGCCGTAGTGGACGGCGCGGGCAGGGGTATCCCCCCCTCGGGGGGGGCAGCATGGCGCCTCAGCGCCCTCTACCGTTGACGGTGAGCGTGGTGGCATCTGGTGGTGGACGGCGGCGTTACTGGCCGACGAACCTCCTTCCAGACCGACGGTCCACGCCTTGGCTGCCCTTCCTTGCGAACGGGTGATCGGCATCTTGAATCTGAAAATTCTGCGGTTTTAATACGGTGGTGACTATTTACCCGGTTCCGAAATACAAACGGATATATCCGGCTCGAAGGACCAACGAATGTGCCGGACGGGCGAAACTCTCCGGAGTAAATGTTGTCGAAGATACTTCGCGAGTCGCTCACGTCCTACACCTATAGGTTCCGGTGGGTACTCTCACCGCCGTCTTTGTTGTTGCCGCTGAAATATTGTGGACTGTAGTTAAAATCAAAATGCACGATTAACAAATACAAATAGCAAGGTAGTGGCCAGCGGTTCGACTGATTGATTAGTCGCGAAACTTTATAACTATTTATCACGGTTGTTAAACTACGGTTGTTCACTGTATATTTCAAAAGATTTCTTTAAATTGTACGGTGGTATCAAATATCTATTGGTAGTAGCTGGTTTTCTAACACTACTGACTAGCAGCTATTATCAACTAAACTAGTTGATTTTATCACTTGTGTAACTTCAGATATCTAGTTACCACTTTCACTATATGTAACTGCGAATATCAGTTACGACCTTTTTTAGGCTAGCTAACACTTTCACTATGTGTAACTGCGAATGTCAGTTACGACCTTTTTCGGCTAGCTAACACTTTCACTATGTGTAACTGCGAATGTCAGTTACGACCTTTTTCGGCTAGCTAACACTTTCACTATGTGTAACTGCGAATGTCAGTTACGACCTTTTTAGGCTAGGTAACACTTTCACTATGTAACTGCGAATATCAGTTACGACCTTTTTAGGTTAGCTAACACTTTCACTATTCACTATATACTGCTACTAGTCACTTCAGCTACCACCGGATACCACTCACTTCACTTCACTTGTCACTGGTAGTTCTTCACACTACTACGGGTACTGGGTCCCGAGCCCCTAAGGTAGACTTTAGCAATACTTTGCAGTGAGCCGCTTGCCATTTTCCGTTTTGCCTCTTTATTGCATAAACTTATCACTATACAGATGGCATAAATTGCAATATTTTCTATACAAAACTAATTGCTACACTAACATGCTATACATCATTAAATCGGTAGTCTGATACTTTATTAATATATCATAAAGGTTACTAAAAACATTAACATTGTAAAAAGTTATTAAACGAAATGTCCCAAATTTTCATAATATTTGGGCATTTTAATTCTTTAATTTTTCTATAACTACGAAATGCGTTTAATTATACAAAAATATTCCTATACTTTCTTAATCTATAAGTTATATGCTAATTCAATGTCATATTTATAACTCTTTTAGGACATAAAATTATTTTCATTATTTTTAGTATGATCTATTACGCAGTTAATTAAAAAACTTCTAGAGAGTTCCACGATAAGACGCGCTGTGATTGGTCGATTTTTTGGTATATAATAAAAGTTGTTTATATTACTTGTTATCAAAACGACATTCTATACAAACATATTGAGAGTTATAAATATACTAAATAACTATATTAATACACGTTTTCACTCAGTTTTCTTGGTAATTTCACTATTAATACATAAAACAATATTCTTTATCATTTTGTTTCTTAAGGTTGTTAGGCCGTCGCGAACAAAATCTTCAGCAGACTAGGATATCCTGTCTTACTCACAGCTGACAATGGTAAGCAATTTGTGAGCGATGAGTTTTAATCATTCTGTAAAGAGTGTTCCTTTAAACTTTTTAACTCTGTACCCTACTGGCCCACAAATGAATGGAGAGGTTGAAAGGCAAAACCGAGATATATTAAAACTGCAACGAATAAGTCACTATGAAAGAAAGTCTTTGGGATTATCTCAACACGACCCACCATACGGTGACTGGAAGGACACCATCGGAACTTTTCTTCAAAAGACAGAGTAGAGATAAAGTCCCCTCACTCGACTGATGCTGCAACAGAACAAATGACATGGAAATAAGACATAGAGACAGAGAACAAAAACAAAAAGGAAAAGAGTATGCTGACAGGAAACGAAGAGCTACGAATTCAAAAATAGTGGAAGGTGACAAAATTTACGTTTTATGTAATAAAATAAGGTTCATGAATCGGAATGAAGGTAGTATCATAAATATTACCTGTTAAGACACAAGTATAAATGTCTACTGTTTCGAGCGCTCCGCATCAGTATCACGAGAGCCGCGGACGAGAGTGGACGTGTAGTGAAACGTGAGTGATAGACTGCAGAAAAAGTACGATTGATGTGTCATTACTCATTAGATATCAAGGAAAAGAAAGGATTTTAACGTGGCGCTCATATTTTTGATTTTAATAAATATCAATTGCATGCCGTGGCAACCTTTAATTAAGACGACACTGAGATATAAACCTTCCTGTAATTTGTAGTATTTACATTGTATTCGTGTACGTCTTGTTGGTTGTCCTAAATAAAATAAAAAAAAAAACAATATCTACCTCTTAACCATAATTATAACATATCCTCATATTATAATAAAAGCAAAGGTTTTTATTTGATGGATATAGATTTTTTATGCGTGCATCTTCGAACATAAAAAAGCTCGAAGAGATAAATAGTATCGGAACCTCAGAACAATAACTAAAGCAAGTTATTATTGTCCTGAGATCGGAACTTAGAGAATAAACCATAAATAATTTATCTCTTTCTGAAATGTTGAAATGTGGATTGTGGTTGCTTGTTGTAAAAGTGAAACGTGGAACGGAACGCGGAAAGAAACGTCAAATGCAAATGTTTATTTTTATTGAACAGAAAAAAAACTATAAATAAATATTCTCATGGCTTTTAAATTCACCAAAAAACGTATTTATTTAAAATACAAATTACAGTAGTAAATAGCAGCAATGTCCAAAGAAATCGATGTAATTTCGGCTCAAATTGTTAGTTTTGACGTCAACAGATTGGAAAAAGAATGTTCAAGTGATCAAAGTAGCGACTATGGTGTTGATTCCAGAGAAATAAAGTCTTGTATTGATCCAGGTGATTTAAATTCTACAATACCTACCGTGTCGTTAGATTCCGAGGTATCAGCTCACATACATCAGGAAAAATCTAGTTGTGTTCATGAAGAGAATCACAATGGAGAGACTTCAAGAGATGAAAGTTCTGCTATTCCTGTTTCTATATCTCAGACTGATAAGGTCAATATCGATAAGATTTCATTTCACAATGAAACCACCATCAATGAAATTATTTCTGGGAATGAAAAGTCTAATAGAGACCGTGAAAGTTGTATTAATAGCAATATTTCAGATGCCAATATTGAGGATATTCCTTACAGTTTAGTAAACAAAGAACATTTAAATATTAGTGTTTCAGTTCCTAAGAATATGCAATCAGAATTAGATAAAATCAGCAGTAGAAACTTGACAACTTCAACAGTAAGCTTGAATGAACCAGCTGTATGCTTAGACAATAGTATTATATGTAAATCTCCTTACAGCAGAAGTGCTGAAAATATATGTAGCTTAGAAGAAACACAGAACATAACTAATAGTAGTTTAAATTCTAGTGATAAAAGATTAAACACTGCAGAGATACTCTCTGAATTCTCAAACCAAAAAACTAAAGCTAGTGCTACTCAAAAAAGTATTCCTGACAATCAAACAATAAATCATGATACAAAACAAAGTAGGTTACCTAAAGAAATTTTATCTCAAGATCTAGGTAGTATTGTTAAGAATGTCCATGGTATGTTCTGGTCAGTCAGTGGGAATCTCAAGAATGCATACACACAAAGAGTTTCTACACAAAAGGCTCCAATTAAAAACCTTAAGCCAATTATCAATGGTAAAGTAATGAATGATATCTTTGAAGATGCATCAAGTGATAAACAATATACCATCTCAGCTGGTGAAAATAAGATAATTGGTGAGGAATTAAAACAAAATAGCAGTGCTGATCTGAAATTGACAGATGATAAAGAGGAAGGTGAAAATGACACAAAGAAAGATGTGCTCAATCAACAGCTACATTCATTGGAGAGAATGCTATCTCAGCAGAGGCAGGAGAATGTAATATTGCGGGAGAGAGTGAAGCAGCAGGTAGATGAGTTGCACATTAAAGATCAGACATGCAAGGAACTAGAGGCTAAGTTGGATTATGTAAGTATATAATATGCATTGAGTTTTATATATATCTTATCACTTGTAATGTACATCTTTCTGCTATATTGCCAGTCTGTTAGCACTACAATTTACTAATCTATTAGGCTATCTCCTTTAGCATAAAGGAGGAATAGTTCGGACTAACCCCAGCCGCTAAATTTCGTGAACGCACTACGCAGCAAACGTCCCGATACCATCCACATCTGGATGCTTGGCGGTCCACCACTGTATGTTTTACAAGGAGTTTTCTTCCGCGTACGACCTTTCTGTGGAATAATTTACCACCGGCGATTTTTCCGGACCGGTACGACCTGGGGACCTTCAAGAAAAGGGCTTACTCATTTCTAAAGGGCCGGCAACGCACCTGCAATACCCCTGGTGTTGTAGTTGATCATGGGCGGCGCTTGTCACTTAAGATCAGGTGAGCCGCATGCTCGTTTGCCCCCTCTTCTATAATAAAAGCATGATTATACTGCGACAAATGATTTAAGATGCACATGTGTATGTTAATAAGTTAGATATGGTTTTGGCCTGGTTTTTTTGTCACTTGAAACATAAGCCTCCTTAAAACATATGCCACACTTTGTCTTTCTTCCTTTGTTGATCCGACCTGCTATTTGATAGTAAAAATAGCAGCTTAATGCTACTATGCTGTGTATAGTGATCCAGATACCATTTTTACCAGAGCCCTCAGTGTGATAACATATTTGCATTTTCTTCTTAATCAAGGATAGATGTCAAATGAGCTACTGCATTCACTTACTATCGGGTGGAATGTGGTTTGGTCATCTAAATAAATTATAACTATGCCTTGCTGGTCTAGTGGTCAGAAATGCAATTGTTTTTTATGAGAAAATTCACAGTTGGCAAGATGGCGGTATGTCACCCCCATGCCTGGGAAAGCACAAAGCCGTTGTACTGCACTTGATCTATTTCCAGTTGTGTGGGATTACTGACACATCAGACTATGAAAATGAGGGATTAGAAGGTGCACCTGTGCGCATACATTTGGGCACTATAATCCTGTATGCCCAAATGACTAGTCTATGTTGAGACGGGTAGCTATCAGTCATAAATCATAATATTAAAAAAAATCCTTTTCTGACATAGATGAGCAAACGAGTAGAACAGGCGCAAAAAGATGCAGACGCTGCAGTAATGAGATATGCTGGTGCTGAATGTGCTGCGATAGAAGGAAGGAAAGCTGCCGACTCTGCAAAACGGTTGCAGCAAGCTGCGGTGGCTGAGTGTGAGTTGCTGTCCGGAAAGTTGAAGTCAGCTCATGCCGAGAAACAGAGGATATGTCAGCTGTATGATGACAAGGTAAACATTGATTTACAAATTATAGTTCTTGCAATTAACACTCTAACACTCTTTGACTCTGTTAATTGCTACATGGGGGCACATTGTGATAGTATGACATACCCGCTTTTGGTCTCGCACACACTTTGATACGTAAATAGATATGTGTTTACTGCCAATAAAGCATCTTCCACTTCATGAATTACAGTAACTATCTAATACTGTGTTGTGAATAAGTGGCGTAAGAGCATCCATTGTCCCTTTTCATCCCATTAGGGTTCTAGGGTATAAACAACTATAGGAAATTTTACAAAGATCTTATAACTTCTGGCAGATGGGAATATAACCACCTTATTTTTTTATAGAATAAGGGTGACAAACGAGCACACAGTTCACCTGATGGTAAGTGGATGCTGTGGCCCATAGCCATATCTACATCTATCCTCGATTACGAATCAAAATACAGATGCATTGTCACCAGTGAGGACTAAGATGGAATGCCTCGTTTCCAGTAAAAAGGGTCTCTGGGTCTCTACACTCACCCTAGGAAATACAGCAGCATTAAGCTAATATTTCACGCTGGTATTCTGTGAGAGCGTGGTCCCTCCCCGGTCAAGCCGACCTATTCGTGCTACAACTATACAATTAATATAGCTGCAGCATGGGTCTACCACGTATAAGTCTTCCTGCTTAAAGAACATGTGACCATTGATATATATGCATGGTGAGGTAAGTCCAGTTGGTAACATATATTTTTATATTCCGAGGTAATACAATCATAGAGCAATACGGGCCACCGGCGGGCTGGAGGGGAGTAGCCGAAGCTTTTTTCACAATTAAGAACTGCATGTTATTTTATGGGAGGGAAATCTGCACACACAAAATCAATCATCTGCCACTACGAAACTCACATATAAAAATTAATAGAATCAGGCGTTAGTTTGCGGAAATCCATTATAACAAATAATTTATTACTTTGCAACCAACACCACTATTCCAGGTCCTGGAATAGTGTCCTGGAATAGTGGTGTTGGAAGTAGTGGTGCCGGGAGTAGTACTGATGGGAGAAGTGGTGCTGGGACTAGTGGTGACGGAGTTATTGCGCGCAATTGAGGGAGGGCGGGAGGTGCTCTTCAATCCAGGTAAGACAAATCATTGTAATTAGTTAGCGGAAGGTTGCAAAGTAATAAATTATTTACAATAAACTAAGCTCTAACTAAGTCTTGGTAAACCAATCCGAAACAACACATCCGTTATTATTATAATTTTTGAGTTCAAAAATAAGTAAATATCCTTAGCAGCAAAAAACTGAACAATTTGACAATTTTGTAGGACATCAATTCAGCTGCGGAACTGGATTTAGTCTAGTGACCTGTGCAGCGGCAACTAGTTTTATTGTATGCGAAGGACCGTGTGTACTAATACTTTGACAGAGGGGAACGCCTGCGTGTTTCTACTCACCACCCATCCACCGGTGAACCTGTGTTGCTCTATTAATACAATAGACCCTTTGTTTGTAAGATAGAATAGTTGCGTTCTGCATGTTGCCGCTGTGTATGGTGTTACAGGTTGGCGGATTGGATCGGAATGCGGTCTTTCTTTGCATCCTATCCATGGGTTTGCTTTTCGTCGGATATCCCAGCTCTGTTGCTGACTTTGTTACTGATGTGGTGCAACAGGAAATGGAACTATTTATTACATTATCTGTGGTACCCATCGGAGGCAAATCTCAGGAGGAGTTTGATCGCTCCTCTAAGACTGCATTACGCAGTAAGCAGGAGTGTTATCAGGCCTGGGCTGACGCTTCGGCGGCTTGGGATGTAAACATCATCAAGCTTAAAAAAAGTATAACTTCGCCTGTAGGTCGTTCAAAAGAGTTATTGCCAATGCAAAGTTGGCAGAATTGGCGAGAAATTAGTTCGACTTCCTTCGGTAACCTGTGCATTTTGGTCTATCGCCAAGGTTGTCCAAGGTAATTTTTGTAAGCCATCACTACTATCTCTGCACAGGGAGGACGATACACTGGCCTCCGCGCCAAAAGAGAAAGCCGATCTTTTAGGCTCTCTTTTTGCGTCCAATGCTACTCTCGATGACGGGCGAACACACCGCCCACCATCCCGCGGTATGAGTGCTCTATGCCTGATGTGCAATTCACACAGTACTCAGTACATTAAGCACTCCTCTCCCTGGACATCCACAAGTCGAGTGGGCCTGACTGAATCCCTTCAATTGTGCCGAGGAAGTGTGCTCCAGAGTTGGCACTGGTTCTAACGCGTCTTTTCCGGTACTCCTACTCCTAGGCGTAGTCCCAAAATCATGGAAGACAGCTTTCGTGCACCCAATTTGTGCCGGACGGGCGAAACTCTCGGTCGGAGTAAAGGAGTAAAAGGAAAGGAGTTTTGTCAGTAATTTCATTATTAATACAAAAAAAAAACAATATTCTTTATAACTTTGTTTCTTAACGTTGTTAGGCCGTCGCGAACACAATTTCTAAAAAAGGTAATCGCTTTTATCCATCCATCTACAGACCTATCGCTATCAGAAAGAAAGAAAGAAAGAAAGATTTATTGCAGCACGCCACAAACATCAGTAGGCACTTAAATTTTGACACATCAATTATAAACATTATAACAAACAAAAACAAAAATAGGAAACAAAACCACAATTTGACGGATAAAACAATTTAAAAGTATTAATACTTATAGATTATAATTAAAAAAAAAATAGAAAGACAAAAAGAATCGTTTCTCATATTGTACGAGTATGTTGTGGCGCGTCATACAAACGGACCTCACTCAGCTTATGCTGTCGCCGGAGCAACAGCGCTGGTTTTCAGTGGGCCCGAACGGATAATAACGTACGACGTCCGCGAGTGATACATAATAATATTCTAAAACCAATCCGTCTAACTATGCTGAAATTATTGATTTCAAACCAAACAAAGGTATGTACATGTGCTTATTATACATGCACTTTATTTTTATTTTCAAAAAATTTGTTACCAGTGTGCTCTTAACTTTATTAATTAATATGTTACATTATTTCAAAAGTTATTATTACGTTGTATTTGTTTTCTTATATTAATATACTATGTATATTTTAACACTTATTTCTAAAACTTATATATAAATTACCTCAGTTATTGATTGACGGCACTAAATTACACTTTTTTTTTTAGCCTACGGTCAGTGGAACTATCCGAACAGTATCCAATTTAAGGTTATATTATCATCACTCAACTTTATTAGTTGCGACCTTGTCCGCCTGTGCTATGTGCCAGTACCCATTTTGGTGAGTAGTACGCTTCAGCCTATGTTCTTCTGAGTTGATATTAGATAGTTTTTATATTTTTCTTTAAAGGTTTTAATAGTTTTCAGGCTACGAAGCGGTGGCGGCAGGTCGTTCCAACACTTTGAGGCAGCGTACCTAAAGCTCCCACGAAAAGCAGCGGTGCGATGGAATGGCACGGCGAGAGAATAAGTCGACGCACGAGTTATTTTTGAATTTACGTCGCGCGACCATACCAACTTTTGGAAGAGATAAGGTGGCATATTATATTTAATTATACCAAACAGTAGTGTTGCTAAATGAAAGTGACGACGATATTTCATTTTTAAAATGTTGCCTCGTTGATGTACGGCGTAACGTGAGTGCGTGGCGGTATCCCGAAGCAAAATCTTGCACAAGCGTTCTGAACTCGCTGAATGAGTTTTTGACTACGTATTAATAGACGAGGACCATAAACTACATCCATGTAATTAAATTTAGAAAGAATTAATGAGTCACAGAGCCTTATTCGAATATCTGTGTTCAGGAAATTTCTAATTTGATACAGGACTTTAAGTCTGTAGAAGCAATTTCTAACAGTATTAAGTATGTGATTCTCGAAGCGCAAACGATCATCCATAAGCAGACCTAAATTGAGAGTTTCAGTCACACGTTCAATTTGTTCCCCTTTTATGGTGACATGAAGCCGTTGATTCGCAATGTTTTGAATTTGCTTAGCCGTTCCTAGAATCATATACTTTGACTTATTTCCGTTTAACACAAGAGCATTCGATTTTGACCAATCAGCAATGCCTTCTAAATCTTTGTTTAATTTGTTTATTGCTGATTGAGTTTCCTCAGGCTTACATGATATGTAAATCTGTGTGTCATCAGCGTACATATGATATCTACAATGTTTGATGTGATCTACCATATCTGCACAGTACATAGCAAACAAAAGTGGTCCTAAAATTGAGCCTTGAGGTACACCTTGTTTCACAACCTTGAAATCGGAAACTAGCGGCAACCCTTCTATGGTCAGAAATTTCTACTCGCTGTGCGCGATATTTAAAGTAGCTCTCAAACATTTCACCGCAGTTACGTCGAAACCATAATAGTGCAATTTTGACAAAAGTAATGGTACATTCAAGCAGTCAAATGCTCTAGAAAAGTCTAGTAGAACTAATATTGTGCCTTTTCCAGAGTCCTGGTCTGACAGAATATCATCGATTACTTTAATCAGAGCGGTAGTTGTACTATAATGTTGCCTAAAACCCGATTGTAAACTAGAGAGTATTTCATTTGTTTCCAAATACTTTCTTAGCTGCTCGACCACAACCTTCTCTAAAATCTTTGACACACAGGGCAATATGCCGATCGGGCGGATGTCCTTCATTTTAGTTGGATTTGCGTTTTTAGGAATAGGTTTGACCAAAGCGTGTTGCCATTCTGTGGGATATGTATGGGTTTCTATAGATTTGTTAATTATATTTGTTATAACAGATATTGTGTTGGGTATTGACATTTCGAGCATATTAAGGGATATGCCATCTACGCCAACCGCATTTGATTTTAACGACTGTACTATTTTTAAAATATCAATTTCCTGTACTGTCTTTAGCTTAAATCTACTTGAAACTTTTATATGAGATTCAAAGAAAGACGTGTTAGAAGTAAGTATTTGATCATGTCCAGGAACATTTAAAAAGCTGGTATTAATTAAATTGGGATCATTAAAAATATGATACGTTAGTTCTGGTTTACTTTTAAACCTTACATTTTTTTTATGTGTGACCATATGGCTTTGGGATCTCTTTTAGTATTGTTGTAGTCATAGTATGCCTGTTTTTCTTTGCGAAGCGCCTCAATACAGTATTTTTTTTAGTTCCTTATAATAGTTCTTATGTATCTCTGAACCAGATTTATGTGCTGCTAAACCAGCTTCATCCCGGAGTTTCATAATTTTTTTTATATTATAAGTGATCCAGGGATATTGTAAATGTCTTACAGTTTTTATGCAAAGAGGCGCATGAATATCAAATATGGTTAACATCATTGTGTTAAAAAGAGATACCATATCATTTACGTCATTCAGGGTGTTGATGGTTTCCCAGTTCATCGACTTTAGATCTAATTGAAACTGTTCGACATCAATGGAATGTAAGTCTCTGCGTGATATTATAATTGGTTTTTGTTTGGGCTTTTTGAAATTAATTTCACAACAAATAAATGCATGGCTACTCAGATCGGGTATGTGATTAACTAAAATATTGTATTGCTGGATGTCTGTACAAACTATATCTATTAAGGTTTGACTATGATCGGTGAAATGAGTTGGTTCAGTTACACATTGGCTCAGTTTGTAGCACTGTAAGAATTCTCTAAGTTTTTTATAATTACTATCCGCGGTGTTCAATACATTTATATTTAAAGTCCCCTAACAAGATTATATAATTGCACCATGCAAGAGTCCCGATAGTTTCAGACAAAGCATGGAAAAATGTGTCTACGTTTAACCATGGTGGTCTATAGGCAGTACCAATCGCGATCTTAGTACCGTTAATAGTTAGAGCAAGCCACATCTGTTCTACAAGCGGAGTCGAAGGATGAGGCAACGTTCTAACAGCTAGACCCTGCCGTATGTAGAAGCCAACTCCGCCACCTCGCGAGCGCACATTGGTCGGTCGGGGAATGTGACGTAACCGGTATCCTGGCACCGCAGGCGCGCGCGCTTCCTTACCCTCATGCAACCAAGTTTCGTTAATCGCCATTAAATCGAAAGCGTGGCGATCTATAGCTACTACTAGTTCTTCATGGCCTGTACCTAGTGAACCTACGTTTAGAAGCCCTAACTTAAGATTACTTGTCATGTTGTATGATATAAAAGTTTATTCACAATTGACATCTTTGACCAACAAATATCAGAGTAATACTCACAATAATTGTTCCTACTCTGAGCTTGTTTCATTACTCTATTTATGTTGTTGTAGGTTTGTGATATCATAAGAATGTTAACTGAATTTAGCAAATAATTATAACTGGTAGGATTTAGGGGATATACATATTTTCTTACATTTAAATAACTAATGCCTATAAAGCTTATAAATGAAGTAACATAAATATACATACGTATCGGCCCTGTAGACATTGTCCTACTACACACATAATAACAACAACAATGAGCGTCAAGCTTTATAAAGTCTGAGTAATGTAAAAAGACATTTACTTTGTTTGGTAAACAGTTAATAACAAATGATGCACTAATAAAATTCAAAAGACTATAACAAATAATGTATATGGGTAGCAAATATTTTATGACTGTAAATGGAAATACAAATAGCTTATTACGATAACTTGGCCCAACTATATATTTTTTTAAATGGGATTTCGTATTATTTCGAAGTTGTAAATAAATCTTATTAATAACTATGGGTATATACGAGTACCCACAAAACAATTGACGATAGTAAATAGTTACAAAATTAAATAAAGAAATTAAAAACACTAATTCATTTTTGTAGGTAAACTGAGAGACAGTTATGGTGATCGAACAAATTCGGACCCAAAAACCTTAGCAATATCCGCGTTGAAGCGAATGCGATTTATTGGAGCTCCTGCTTCCCGACGTGCAAAAATTCGGCCTCCCTTCGTCCAAACATATCGCCATCCCTGCTTGCGGCCTGTCTCGCGTGCCATGCGAAACAACTGCCTATTTGTTTTAGTCAGTCGTTCGTTTATATAGATATTGCAGGGTGCGGACTTAAGACCTAGAGCCTCGGTTGTTAGAGACCGGCGGACGCGGGAAGCACGCAGCACGTCGTTACGCACGTCGCGCCGCGCCAGCCGCACAGCGATGGGCCGCGGACGAGACGTGGCATCCTGGCGGCCGCCCCCCACTCGCATACAATGGACCAGTTCTTTCCTCCAAATGAACACCAAGCTTGGTCACAACTGACAGAACCAAGTGTGTTGGGTTCTCCCCACTCTCCTCTGGAATGCCACTTAATTCGACGTCATTTGCAAGCAACTCCTGATCCCTATCGTTTAAGTCTGCTTGCAGCTGATTGACGGTCGACTCGAGTTTTAGGATTTCAATTTTGAATCCTTGAGAGCCATATTGCTCTTGTGATTCCAGGATAGTTTGGACCGTGTTCTCGAGCTTATCTAAACGAGCATTGCATTTGCTGACAAGGTTTCTTATGTCCTGAAGTTCTTCTCTGAATGCCGAAATTCTTCACGGGTTTGTCGCATTTCTTCTCGGAAACATCGCAATTCCTCTCAGAGGTTTGAAACCTCACTCGAATTAGCAACAGTAATTGTTGCAGGTTTTATCGGCGTTGTGTCCTTGTTGCAACGTTTTTCTTTCAATTTGCATTCAGGGCAAGCCCAGGATGGCATTAGTGAAGCGCCCACTGGGATGCCTACACACGCACGATGTAGCTGTTTATTGCACTTTGTACAAGTAACATTAGCGCCATCTTGCGGAGACATGTATTTACCGCACGCACTGCACTTAACTGCCATGATCGATAAGTTTTAATACGAGTAGTTGATAAAGTAAAATTATGCGTTGATTTATTAGTACACAACGGAAGCGTGAGATGGAGCTGTGTTGATCAGTACTATATGACGGTATTATGTTATTAAATTTTATTCGATGACATTTAAAAATAAAATGTTTTTAATATGTAAATGTTGTTTTTTTTTACTATTTATTCACTAATCACTAAACACTCTAATGTATCCACACCATATAAGGTTCGCAGTACACATATGTTTAACTTTTGCACAAAAATTCTAACTTAAACAACGTCCAAATAATTTTAAATTTACATAAACTCTTCCGACTCACTAACTATGTATCTCAGGACGGGCGTCCGTGACGTTACTCATTAAATACAATACTGCTCATAGAATACTATGATACAAAATAGAATGGCTGTCGACCTTATTTTGTACGAGGATCGGCGTCGCCGGAAGCACACATACAAAAAAAAAACGTCGTATTATCACTACTACAAACCCGATTCGCTGTGTTGACAGACAGATTTTAATTTATATTTATTTGACACATTTGATTTATATTTATTTGACAGATTTTATATTTATTTGTAAACAGCGTGCAATTTGGCATTTTCTAAATAATTTGCATGGGAAATTTGGAAACGATCGTAACGTCAAAACACATCTCGTGTTGACATTTATACGTGTGAATTGACGTGTTAGTGACATTTTAGTGGCTACCCACTCCCCCGTTCTATTATGTATGTCTTATACTCGTAGTATTCTATGATACTGGTTAAGCTTTATACAGTGGCCATGCCAATATTTCTCGGAAAAACATCACCGAGTACCGGAACAAACTTTTGTCTGAAATCGAGAGAGTCTGAAGCTCCCCAGTGCCAGCTCCTTCCATTTGATCGCATGCAGCGTAGAGCAGGTTGAATCGTCGACGACCGTGCACTTTCTGATCGGCTTGACTCACTGGCGCTGTGAAGAGATGTTGCATCTCTTTGCGATTTCTATCGTATTTATCACGTGGACTGCTCAGAGGAATTGTTCGGTAATTCCAGCCGCTCAGCTTAAGCTTAAGCTATCGTTTAGTCCCGTGTTTTCTCTATCACTTTAAAGTCAAAGTGACTGACACCACGAGAGTAACGCTGTCTTTCTTTTTCTCTATCTATCTTTCTTTTCTATCGAGTGAACGCAGGAAATGAAGTAAATGGGGCTCTACACTCTATTGTGGAAAGTCAGAGTGTGTCAAAAAAGGCACACATGGCAATTCAAAATGCTGTGCTAGTGCCTACTTTAACGTATGGTTGCGAAAGTTGGGTGTCGCAGAAGAAGCATGAGAGTGGAATAAACATAGTAGAAATGCGGTCGTTAAGGAGTGACAGGGTGAGAAATTGTGTAATGAGAGAAGAGTGTGGTATGCAAGATGATGTGACGAGGATTAAGAAAGGAATGCTTCGGTGGTTTGGTCATGTAGAAAGAATGAATGAGGAAAGAGTGACAAAGCAAATTTATGTTGTAGAAGTGAACGGCAGAGTCGGTAAGGGACGTCCTAGGCGAAAATTTGTCGACCAAATTGGCGACCTACTGAAAAGGGGCCAAATTAAGAGTACCCTTAACCGACGAGAATGTGTGCGTAGGTACGAGTATATGAATGTGGAAGAAGCGAGTGAGGTGTGTCAGGATCGTGCCAAATGTAAGGCTGTGGTCTCTGCCTACCCCTCTGGGTGACAGGCGTGAGTACTTATGTATGTATAATTATATTATGTCTTTCTTTTCTATTAGAGTCTTATGTTCGGTACTAGATAATTTTATTCTTTGTTGCAGTGCCATGAATTGCAGAATAGTGAACGAGAGACCGCGAAGTTACGAGAAGATCTAAAAGAATTGGAGGGACGATTAAAATGGACGCAGAGTAAACTACGCATGGAAATGGATGCTTATAAGGTATAACTTATATAAAAAAATGATTAAATTATTATTTGGATTTACCACGTGCTCAGCAGTGAAGGAAAACATCATGAAAGAACCTGCATGTCTAAGAAGCAAAAAAAAAACTTAAATTGAAAATTTCAATAACTCCCGAAACATAAAGATCTTAAACACACACAACACATGACACCTTCGTACCTTGCGCGACGTCGTTTCGGCGGCGTTTACGATTTTTTTCTCGCGAGCATTGAGCTATAATCTATAACGCTTCCTATCTCACTTTCTCCCACATTAAATCTTACGAATTTGTATCTGTTTCTTTTTACTGTCGCTTTTTTTTTAATAGACTTTCAAATAACAACGATGCTAAAGTTTTAACTTCATTAAGTGAAAAGGAAAGGTGGCACCTACTTAGATAGTCTCCTGGGCAGAAGGAGTCTTACTACCTAGTCTGTTTAAAAATAAAAAAGTACGCACCAAAAAATATTTTTTTAAAGGAAAGTTCTGAACGTGCGGAGAAATTGGCGCATCAAGTAACTGAACTGGAAGCAGCGAAGGAAGCTGCGGCAGCTGGTGTCTGCGATTCTGCGAGGGCGAAGGTTTTAGGTAAATATTTTGTGAATAATTGACGATGAAAAATTCCATTTCTAATGTGTAAGCAAAATTTGTTATTTTTTTATTTTTATAGATTGAGGGTGACAAACTAGCACACAGCCCACCTGATGGTAAGTGGATGCTGTGGCCCATATACATCTACAATTATCCTCGATTAAGAATGAAAACGCAGATACGTTTTCACCCGTGACGACTAAGATGGAATGCCTCATTTCCAGTGAAAAAGAGTCTCCGGTTCTCTACACTCACCATACGATACACAGTAATATTAAGTTGCTATTTCGCGCTGGTATTCTGTGAGAGCGTGGTCCTTCCCCGGCCGAGCCGACCCATTCGTGCTACGACCATAATATAGCTGCAGCGTGGCTCTACCACGTATGAAAGACCTTATTAGAAATACCTTAAAATAAATTTCATTCTATTACATTAGTAAGACATGCAGGAAGTCGGTGGATGCAGGTGGCTCAGGACCGTGCTTTGTGGCATTCCTTGGGGGAGGCCTATGTCCAGCAGTGGACTTGTGAGGGGCTGTAATGATGATGATGATGACATTAAGGCCTGTAATAGTTCACTGCTGAACATAGGTCTCCTCCACAGATTTCTTCGTATTGTTTCAGATTCCCTCTGTCGCCTCTTACGACACCCACGCGGTGGTATGAGCTAGTGGATATTATTACACCGCCACTGCACGGTTGAACAATAAAAGAAACAAAACTCAACTCCAAATTACGCTATCTGTAACATTTCTACGTGGATGACCTTATATTTAAAAAAATATTGTGTATTTTTATGACTAACTGTAAATTCTATTTTTCTGTTTAATTTTTTATAGTTTTAATACTTATAAAATTCTTAAAAATATAAAAAAATATAATTCATATAATCAAAGATAATTTGTTAGAAGACAATTTTGATCACAAGTTTGTTTACGAACTTATATTATACGCACACACGTCCGAATTCACGCACACGCGTACGAGCACACACTACACGCGTAAACACGCACGCATGTAAGCACACCCACATTCACACAGAAGCATATCCACATGCACACGCATCCACACGTTCTTTTGTAATGTCTTGGTTAATTGTTGAAATCGGTACCTTCGATAGACTGTAACGGCGACTGAAATTGTAAAAGGTATAAGAAGAAAAAACTATCCTGAATTTCTGTATCCACCTTTATGTTTTAACCACAAATTGTATGTATCCGAATCAAATAAGAATAGAACTGACCTTGTGTTATTTTGTGACGTTATAGCTGTTAATTTAAACCAGTAAGGTAGGGTGAGCAAAACAGATATTTTGAAATAATATTTATTTACAAATAAATACAAAAAACCATGAAATAAAAAGTTTTAATCAAAATTTAGCACTTCAATAATTAGCTTATTTTAATTATTTAATCAATTTATTAATTTGCGTCTTGTCAAAATGTTATCAACGAATAATATAGAAAATAGTTTTAAATTATTTTTAAAATTAATTACCGACTTCTATAGATTTGTAATACTAAGACTCAGTTAAATAAATATTAAAGTGAAAAATTATTTTTCTTTGCAAGCTGTACTGCTTAAGTGACAGTTGACAGATTGCGGTCGTTCGAGGTCATTAACCTTCCTATTTTTATTTGAATCTCATTGTACCCTTTATTATTTTAGAAGCAGAACTGAAGGAAAGTCAGGCGGCGTTAATCCTCTGCCGTCACGAGCGGGACGAACTGGAGAGGCGGCTGACCTCCGTTACACAGCAGTTGGACACTTGCAGGAGAGAGCGAGACGAGGCTAGTGCCGCTCTCTCTAGCGCCAATGAAGAAGTAAGTGTTGCCATCGTAAACTATACTGTTAAGTGTTAAATACCCTTGACCTAAGTGCCATTTATATTACTCGCTAATTCACTCATCAAAAACTTTTTACTCACATCCTAGGTTGATTGGGAGAGAATACCAAAGGGCATGAAGTCTGTCCTTTGTAATCTTTTTAATTAAGGTGTACAATTAACCCCTCAGCCGCCAACTAAAATGATTAACATCGCTCGCTCGTTAACGCCGCGTCACGCGCTGCTAAAAATAACCTAACCTTGAATCTGTCGTACATTTATTTCCAATTATATTAATTATAAATTTTAATATAACACTTGTTTCTGTTTTTTTATTATGTTATCTTACTTTTTAAAAAAAAAAAAAAAAAAAAAACAAAACAGCTTTTTTTATTTTTTTTTTTTTATTTTTTTTTTTTTTTTTATTAATTATTTTAAAAAAAAAAAAAATTTTATAATAATTTTTTTTTAATAAATATTTAAAAAAAAAAAAAAAAAAAAAAAAAAAAAAAAAGATAAATTTAATTTATAATTAAAAAAAATAAAATTTTTTTTTTTTTTTTTTTTTTATTAGAATTTATTTTATAGTGTGTTTATATTCTCATTCTTATTAAAATAAAAGGAAAAAAAATATAGGATTTTTTGGGGTGGGGTGGGGGGGGGGGGGGGGGCGGTAGGGGGGCCTTGGGTGTGGGGGGTGATTGGGTGGTTTGCGGCGGGGTTTGGTGGGTGGGGTAGGAATAGCTTTTTTTTTTTTTTAAAATTTTTTTTTTTTGCGGCGGTTTGTTGTATTTAAAAAAAAACTTTTGGGTTGAAAACTGTTTTTTTTTCAAGTAGGTTTTAAGTTTGTACTCATTATAAAAAAGTTGAATTATTTTATCTTTATAAGTCGATTAAAGAACATTATAAGCATAAGATAAAAATAAATAAATAAGAAAGTAGTCTAATTAATTACTAAAAAAAACACCACTATGTTTAATTTGAATGAAATAATGTTCTAGAAGTATAATTATTAAAAAAAGAATAATTTACGGTTATCGGTTCAGCGGTTTCCGAGAAATTTATGAACATACAAAAGACAAACGAATGCACAAACGTAGCGAATATAGAACCCCCCCCCTTTTTTTTGACGTTAGTAAACAAGTTATAACTTGTTTCGCAAGGATTCAAACTGTCCTGAAAATATGGGTTGAGATTAACTTTGACGGGACCGCGTTTGAACTAGGTGGAAAGATTGAAGGCACACAACCTCCGTCTGGAAGAGGAGGCTGCTGAACTGGCGGCACTGAGAGCACAGGCCGCGTTGGCGGATACGCTCAGCTCGCAGCTGCAAAGGTATGTACCATCTTCTTTATTATTATTTTGGAATATTTTATTATAGGATAGGATGACAAACGAGCACACAGTCCACCTGATGGTAAGTGGTTGCTGTGACCCATAGACATCTACATCTATCCTCGATTACGAATCAAAATGCACACGCTGTCACCTATGAAGACTTAGATAGAATGCCTCGTTTCCAGTAAAAAGGATCTCCGGTTCTCTACACTCACCATACGAAATACAGAAGCATTGAGTATTTTGGAATATTAGTATAGTATTCTCATCTAGTTGGGCTGAATAAATATACAAAAGGAAATTTATGTTGGTGTATTAAATATAACTAACGTAAATAAATAAATAATAAATAAATAAATAATATATAAATAAAAGCCCAACCAGATGGAAGCCCTCGCGGCAGGGGAGACCAAACGGCCGAGAGTTAGGGGCAAAGGGAAAGAATTCAGCGGACGATGCGGTCGGTATTAAGGAGCACCGCCTCCTTCTGCAGAGCCCGGAGCGGTCCGTCACGGGGTTCCAGCCGCCTCAGATTACCCGAGAGTTTGACCGGGATTAGCCCGTTCGCAGAGACGACTAAAGGAATTATTTCGGTCGGCAGACCATTCTACGTGTCCAGATATTTTGCCAGATATTTTATTCACTTATCTGTTTCGGCTTTCACGAGGTTCTCGTCATACGGGGAATGGTAATGTCGACCAAAAATTCATTCATTCAGGTCCATCAGCACAATATCAGGCTTATTCGCAAGAATAGTCCTGTCCGTGATGATGGCCCGGTCCCAGCAGAGCCTGGCGCGGTCATTTTCGAGTATGGCTTCCGGCAAGTACTTGTAATACGGCAATTTCCGGTCCATGAGACCGTATTTCAGAGTGAGCTCCTGGTGCAGAATTCCGGCTACTAGGTCGTGCCTGTGCAAGTACTCAGAGTTAGAAAGCGCCTAACAACCGGAGATGACATGCCTAAGTGCCTCCCCGGGATGGCGACAAGCTCGACAGACGTCGACGGTGCCATCCTTTAGGATGAATCTATATATAGTATCTATATATCTATCTATAGATAGTTGTTGGTCTTAATAAACTGACTTATTGCACAGACCAAACCCTCGGTTTCCCCAAAGAGGTCACCAAAACGTAGCCAGTTGAAAGAAGCGACGATATCTACAAAAGGCTCACGGAGAGCCTTGTAGAATCTCCCGTGGAGCTCGTTCTCATTCCATACGGCCTTCCGGTCAGTAATGCTATGTACTGCCGGGTCCTGCCATTGTTCGTTGATTAAAAATAGAGGGGTTAATCCTTTGACCATAAGAAATGACGTCCTTATAGAATGGATCATCCGATCTGGACAGGAAGTAATTACGGAGGCTGCACACTTCGCGATTTGATGTGAGGGATTAAAGAAATTGGGTGGGGGTTTTGACAAAAAGCTATTAAGCACTTTTAAGGTATGTTTTCTATAGAATACTTAATACATACATAATAGATCGGTAGAGTGGGCGAAGCCCGTGTACCCACTAACATGTCACTAACACGTCAATTCACACGTATGTGTGTCGAGTATTTAAACATTGGCAAATTGTGCATTAATTACGTATCGAAATAACGGCGGGAAATGGAATTTAAATAAAGGAGACATATTCTACAACCAGTAAGTCGAAACTATGTATATTTTGTGAATATTAGAAACAAAAATAAAAAAACATTTATGTGTCAAAAACATTAATCAAAAGTATAATATGTGTTTGTAGTAGTGTTAACTGATAATACGACGTAATTGCTTGTATGTGTGCTCCTGGCTACACTGATCCTCCTACAAGTAAGGTTGACAGCCATTCTATTGTGTATTAAAGGACTCTATGTTCATACCCGCCTCATCGATACGGATGTTCTACGAGATATATGATGTGTATATTGTGATAGATAGTAAAGATCTATCTATATGAGTTGATTAAAATAACATGTATATGTTTTACATAAAGATACATCTAGTGGATTACATTAAAACATTAAAAAAGTACTCCGTTTCATTAAAAATTAATTATAAAAACTGTTGAATAATATATATATATATATATATATGAATGGGGCACTACACTCTATTATGAAGAATCAGAATTTCTCAAAAAAGGCACGTATGGTAATTCTTAATGCTGTGAAATAATACAATTTTTTACGGAATTTATCGCGTATATTTAACTTTTTAAATACCCGACGTTTCGAACGCTTTACAGCACTCATGGTCACGGGCCTCTAACATATGGCAGTACAGCAGGTACACGCTCGACTGTGGCCGGCTTCACTCGTTCACTGTGACGTAGGCGCGGGACTCGTAGCTTGTTGTCATGCAAAACTTGCTTGACATGGTGGAGCTCTGCAGCCAGGTGTTTACTGTCACAGATCCCTCGTGCTCTCTGAAACAAAGATTTACCCACGGTAGCTAACTGTGAAGGATGGTGGTGAGAATCACCGTTTAAATATCTATCTGTATGGGTCTTTTTTTCTATACACAGTATGGCTCAAGGTGTTATCAGGATTCCGAATTACTAACACATCTAGAAAAGCTAAGGAATTGTTTGCCTCTAACTCCATTGTGAACTAAATTTTCAGTTCACAATGGAGTTAGAGGCAAACAATTCAAGAGCCAAAAAAGACCCATACAGATAGATATTTAAACGGTGATTCTCACCACCATCCTTCACAGTTAGCTACCGTGGGTAAATCTTTGTTTCAGAGAGCACGAGGGATCTGTGACAGTAAACACCTGGCTGCAGAGCTCCACCATGTCAAGCAAGTTTTGCATGACAACAAGCTACGAGTCCCGCGCCTACGTCACAGTGAACGAGTGAAGCCGACCACAGTCGAGCGTGTACCTGCTGTACTGCCATATGTTAGAGGAGTCACTGACAAGATTGGCTACATCTTGAAGCGCGCTTCCATCAAAACATACTTCAAGCCGTTGAAGAAGATTGGTCAGTTTTTACCATCAGTCAAGTGTAATGTCCCTCTGCAAGATGCAGGAGTGTACAAGCTTGATTGTGAATGTGGTCTCTCCTACATAGGACAAACTAAAAGATCAATAAAAACCCGCGTTAAAGAATATATAGCAGATGTGAAGAATCGACGCTCCGGGAAGTCTGCAGTCTGTGAACACGTACAGGATCGTCCCCGTCACTACATTAGATTTGACGGACCGCAAATCCTCGCTAAAGAACACCGATTACTTCCAAGGATGATTCGCGAGGCTATTGAAATCAAAAAACATCCTAATTTCAATAGAGAAGATGGCTGGGTGCTACCATCTGCTTGGGATCCTATAATAAATAAAATTAAATCCCAACCCAAGCATACAACTGCTAGACTTCAAGATACCATAAGTTCATACTGCATAGATCGGAACAAAAGTTAAATTTTAATCTATGGTAACCGCGGTTAACTATGACATATGAGTGCTGTAAAGCGTTCGAAAAGTCGGGTATTTAAAAAGTTAAATATACGCGATAAATTCCGTAAAAACTAGTATTATTTCAATGTGTAGTGTTCGCGTAAATATAAGAAATCATTATCTTAATACTGTTTTAGTCCCTACTTTAATGTATGGTAGCGAAAGCTGGGTGTGGCAGAAGAAGCACGAAAGTAGAATAAATGCTGTAGAAATGCGGTCTTTAAGGAGTATGCTAGGGTTGAATCTGAATGACAGGGTGAGAAATTGCGTAATAAGAGATAAATGTGGTATGCAAGGTGATGTGACCAGGATTAAGAAAGTAATGCTTCGGTGGTTTGGTCACGTGGAAAGAATGAATAAGGAAAGAGTGACAAAGCAAATTTATATGGCAGATGTGAACGGCAGAGTCGGGAAGGGACGCCCTAGAAGAAAGTTTATCGACCAAATTGGCAATATTTTGAAAATGGGCCATGTTAGAAGTAAGCCCTTAACCGACGATGTAAAGGAGGCGATAGAGGTATGTCAGGATCGTGCCAAATGGAAGTCCGTAGACTCTGTCTACCTCTCTGGGTGACAGGCGTGAGTGTTTATATATATATATTTATATATAAAATGTTGAATCTGTATGGTGAACAGGGAGACGGAACGCGCGTCCCAAGCTGAAGAGGCGCTGAGCAAAGAGCGAGCGCGAGCGGAGACGTGCGCGCGGCGCGAGGCGGCCGCGCTCGAACACGCCGCGCGCCTCACCGCGCAGCACGTCGCGACGCGCGCGCTCGCCGCCGACCACGAGGCCAAAGTGAGATATTCTAAATTCAACCTTATTGCAACATGTTACTTTTGCAATTTCATTGTGTTTATAGGATGATGCAATGGTGATACGTGAGCGTGATATATGAGCACAGCGACCACGAGGCCATGGTGCGCCGCCAATTCCACCTTATTGCACGCGCATACGGTTGCAATTGCAATGTGTTTAGATAGACCGGTGCAATGTGATACATTTGCACCTCGCCGTACAGCACGTGGCGCAGCACACTCTTCAGCGAGCACGATGCCAAGGTGCGCCTCCCCAACTCGACCTTATTGCACGCGCATACGGTTGCAATTTCAATGTGTTTAGATAGACCGGTGCAATGTGATACATGTGTGCCTCATCGTACAGCACGTGTCGCAGCGCTCTCTACAGTGAGCACGATGCCAAGGTGCACCTCCCAAACTCGACCTTATTGCACGCGAATACGGTTGCAATTTCAATGTGTTTAGATAGACCGGTGCAATGTGATACATGTGTGCCTCATCGTACAGCACGTGTCGCAGCGCTCTCTACAGTGAGCACGATGCCAAGGTGCACCTCCCAAACTCGACCTTATTGCACGCGAATACGGTTGCAATTTCAATGTGTTTAAGATAGACCGATGCAATGTGATACATGTGTGCCTCATCGTACAGCACGTGTCGCAGCGCTCTCTACAGTGAGCACGATGCCAAGGTGCACCTCCCCAACTCGACCTTATTGCACGCGCATACGGTTGCAATTTCAATGTGTTTAGATAGACCGGTGCAATGTGATACATGTGTGCCTCATCGTACAGCACGTGTCGCAGCGCTCTCTACAGTGAGCACGATGCCAAGGTGCACCTCCCAAACTCGACCTTATTGCACGCGAATACGGTTGCAATTTCAATGTGTTTAGATAGACCGGTGCAATGTGATACATGTGTGCCTCATCGTACAGCACGTGTCGCAGCGCTCTCTACAGTGAGCACGATGCCAAGGTGCGCCTCCCCAACTCGACCTTATTGCACGCGCATACGGTTGCAATTTCAATGTGTTTAGATAGACCGGTGCAATGTGATACATGTGTGCCTCATCGTACAGCACGTGTCGCAGCGCTCTCTACAGCGAGCACGATGCCAAGGTGCACCTCCCAAACTCGACCTTATTGCACGCGCATACGGTTGCAATTTCAATGTGTTTAAGATAGACCGATGCAATGTGATAAGTGTGCCTCACCGTACAGCACGTGGCTTTACGCGCGCTCTTCACTGAGCACGAGGTCAAGGTGCGCCACCACGAACTCAACCTTATTACACGCTTATACGGTTTCTATTTCAATGCGTGCCTCACTGCACAGCGTGTGCAGCAAACACGAGAAAATGAGGGCATCCACGACTTTCTGTCACCAGGGCACGCAAATTTGGAACGAGTTGGAAAATTTGACATATTACATAGCGGGGAAGTTATTTTGTTAGGAAATGAAAGTAGCTAAAAAAAATTTAATATGTGCTTTTTTGCACAAAGCACATCACTGAGGCCATTTTTATGTATTAATATAATACTCTAGATACTGATAAACCTTTATTTAAAACTAAATTTTCAATTAAATGACATAATGTAACAAAAACAATTCACCTGAGTGTCAACAAGAGATATCTGGTGAGCGGAAGATTAACATTGTGCGCCGCCCTGAATTCAATCTTATTCTACGCTAATAAAATTGCAATTTGTATGAACCCAGAATAGACCAAGGAAATGTGAGAGGTGCAATGAACGCTTATGAAATTGCAGTTGCTTTGAAAATTGACATTCTTTTGTGTTGCTAAAATGTTTGATAATATTATCTTCAGGCCCAAGCGCTGTCGGCTGACAATGTATCACTACGCGAGCGGGTAACTTTAATGGAGGCCGAGGCCGAGAAGCTGCGAAGTGCGTTAGCCGAGGAGGCCGAACGCCGACAAAGGGAGAACCGAGTACTGGCGAGGAAGGTACGCATATAAATTAAACGTTGCGACGCACGTATATAATGTTACGATCAACATTATAATTATTGTTTAAAGGGTGACAAACAAGCACTCAGTGCACCTGACGGTAAGTGAGTGCTGTGGTCCATACACATCTACATACATCCTCAGTTAAGAATCAAAACGCGGATGTTTTCCCGGAGAGTCTTTTGTTCTCTAAACTCACCATACGAAACACAGCAGCCGGGCTAGCATGAGCCGGAGAGAGGATATAATTTTTATCCTCTCAAAAATTATATCCCCCCGATTATATCCACTGACAAGAGATAAAATCTTATCTCTATAGAATATACCCGTTTGACATAAAGAGTGGACATATATCTCCCCGTCCGTAGCATGAGGCCAAGGGAAAGAGAAAAAATTATCCCTTTTTGACATTTGAAAGGGACAATTTTATCCTCTTTCGCGGACGTGGTTTTAAGTTTATCTTCAAACCATTTTAATACAAAAAAGATGTCTCGAGCTTATTGCAACTACATTTTCGTGTCAGAAATTGAAAAACAAGAAAGAGAATTACATGAGCGATCGATACGTGATCAGAATACTTAATCTATTGGAATTCTCCGACAACGAATTTCTACGCCGGTTTCGGATGCTCAAAGATTGTTTTGTATTTGTGTAAAGAACTCTATGAGGCTTTAAAGCCTATTAATTCTGTGGATGGACTACCAGTGCATATTGAAGTAAGCATCTATTACAACCACCTTGTCCAAAAAAGTCTCAATAGCTCAATGCCATGATTTAATTACACAGGTTGTGTCAACAATACACAAGGCGAGGTCAAGGTCAAATTTAATGATAATAGAATCGGTCTATACCATATTTTAGATAAGTATTATAACGTTTTAAAATAAAGTTATCAAACTTAGTAAAGTTACAATTCAAAGTTTTAAATTAAGAAATATGTTAATTCTTTAGCAAAGCTTGCTAAATATACTATACTCATGATTATAAAATTATTTATTCCTTGTTTTGTTTGAAATCATTACATTTTTATTCTTCATGCTTCATCATTTTCAATTAAAATTAAATCTTTGTGACTTAGAGTAGACATCAATTTTGATGTATTTTGTAATTTTCTTATAATGTCAGTAATTGTGGGGATATATATTTTTTTTAATTTCTTCAAGAGGTTACACCACCTCCAAAGGGTCTGTATTGTCCAGTTTCACAATTGGCTTAATTCTAAACACATATTCGTTAATAAATGGTATCACAAGCGAAGTAATACCTGCGATTTGATACAAGCAATGTATATTTAACTTAAATATTATACAAAAGAAAATAAAGAAAGAATTGGAATAATAGAAAAAATAAAAACAAGGCAGAAATACGCTTAAAATAAATATAACAAATATTATAAATGACATATTGTTTAACAAAAAATTATGAACAGTTTAGCAATATAATAAACAAAAGGTAAAAGAAATTATAAGTTAATGTAAATCTACTTAATCTTAAAACTAGTTTATAGCTAGTATAGTTTATAGCTTTATACTATGGTATATTATCTATGCGCGGGGATAAGTTTATCTACTGTCGATATTATATCCACCATAGGCCCATGCTCGGAGGGTGGATAAAGCTTTGACATAGGGATAAGACAATTTTATCCCTTGTCAGTGGATATAATCGGTGGATAAAATTTTTATCCCCTGCTCATGCTAGCCCGGCAGCATTAAGGGGAAATATAACCTCAAATGGCATAGCAAGATCCTTAGTTATGCCGAAAATATTGCAGCATTAATTTTGAAATAAATATATGTTAAAGTTGAGGATTAATGTTAAGTATTATGTTAGACAAAAACATGATTCCGTAAAATATTTTTGATAGAAAAAAAATCCAAATTTACCTCCGAGCTGAACAACAAACCGCTGTTATTCATGAAACTTTGCATACTAACTGAACTAGGATGTTCAGTTAGTATGCAAAGTGGAGCAGGGATTATGTTTCTTTTTTAAATTACCATTATTTTCACTGTAACAAGAACTTACCTAAACTATCGGCTTCCTGAAGCTTGGAACCGGGCGGCAGGAAACAAGCTTCAGGAATGACAGCGGTTTATTGTTCAGTTTGGAGGTAACTTTGGATTTTTTTTCTATCAAGCAATATTTTACGGAATCATGTTTTCGTCTAACATAGTACTTAACATTAATCCTCAAGTTTACCATATATTCATTTCAAAATTAATGCTTCAATATTTTCGGCATAACGGAATATCTTGCTAAGCCATTTGAGGTTATATTTCCCCTTAAACTGCTATTCTTATTCTTATTGTGGCATCGTGGCTCTCAAACGGATGAACAGATTTGGAGAGTGTTTTTTTGTTTGAAAAGTTACTTGATTGAGAGTGTTCTAAGCTATGATTCAAGAAAATCTGTTGAGCCATTTGAGGATCATAAGCTCTTTTTGTTTCGAGTTTTTTTTTTAAATTTCAATTTAAGTTATACTTGTTATTTTTTAATTCACAAAATATAGTGCTATATGCTTATGTAGAAAAAGTTATCTCTCTTTCTATATAGAATATCTCATTTCAGGTGGCTGAGTTGACTGAAGAGGTGGCGGAAGCAAACAAACGGTTGGAGTGGGAAAAGGGAGAGAATTGCGTACTTAAGAAGAAGCACGCTAGTGCCATAAAGGTATGGGTCGGTTTTTTCAATCCCCATAAAATTCCCATGCAGTCGCATGCGCTCGGCAACTCCCGAGTCGCATGCCCGCACCCACCCACACCGCTTAAAACCATTAATACTTATATTTAGAGACTACTTTTCTATTAAGAAGTTTGGCATTATAGAATCTATACAAAATTCTCTATCATGTGGTCTAAACAAGTCCGGTTTTACTTCATTACAAAAAGATTTTATTGTATTTTGATTAGTATTATTGTAACAAAAAAACAATAACAAGCGGATGTCGGCAGCGTGAAACTCACAATTATTACGATATATTACGAAATTATTTACGTAAAAAGATAAATTATATTCACACAAAAACTTTTATAATAATTTTATAATAAAACACTATAGTAACATCCAAATGAAAATTTCGAACGTAATGAACATAGAATATAAATTAATATCCATAGACTAACTGTTTTTATATTTCACTATAGGATAGAAAAATTCATATTGATTCTATAATGCCAAACTTCACAGAAAAGTAGTCTCTAAACATAAATATTTATGGGTTAGTGCTGTGGGTGGGTGTGGTCAATTTTGACGGAATATCGAAACGGCCAAATTTGGACGCTTGGCGTTTGAGAGGTTAAAAGACTACAATGTTTTCAAGTTGTTACTCTCTCTCTCTCTCACACACACACACACACACACACACACACACACACAGACTTTCTCTCTCACTCTATCTACCACCGGCACCGGAATGTCTCACAGCCTGTAAGTGTTGCAAGTGAAAGCATTGCGGCAAGGTACCCAGACATATTTCTAGAAATAAGTGGTACCACTAGTAAGCCTCCATCTGTCTTTACTATTTTTACTTACAACACTTTAATAAATGTGTTTAAATTATTACAAGTTAGTGTTTGACAACTATTGCATCTGACGGTAAGTGGTGATGTAGCCGAAGGTGAAACGCACTGACCTAGCTTAGTAAGAAAAAAGCGTTCGCATTTCGCAGGAACTAAATCGGGAGCTGCAACGCGCTCTTAAGCGCAGCGAGCAGCTCGAAGCCAAGCTGCAGACAAATGATGCCACGTCGACCAGAACAGGTGAAATTATTTTATCCCCTGCTGTCAGTGTGCATTTAGACAGAATTCGGAACTTCTCTTGATGTAGGTGAACCAATGATAGTCAAGAAAACACACTACCTATATTTTTTACGTGGCAGAGCCACGCTGCTGCTATATTATGGTTGTAGCACGAATGGGTCACCTCGACCAGGGCAGGACTATGCTCTCACAGAATATCAGCGTAAAATAGTAGCTTAATACTGCTGTGTTTTGTATGGTGAATGTAGAGATCCGGAGACCCTTTTTTACTGAAAACGAGGCATTCCATCTTAGTTCTCACGGGTGACAACGCATCTGCATTTTGATTGTTATAATCAAACAGAACCTACGGCCAAAAAAATTAGTAGCTCAATGCTGCTGTGTTTCGTATGGTGAGCATAGAGAACCGGAGACCCTTTTTTACTGAAAACGAGGCATTCCATCTTAGTTCTCACGGGTGACAACGCATCTGCATTTTGATTGTTATAATCAAACAGAACCTACGGCCAAAAAAATTAGTAGCTTAATGCTGCTGTGTTTCGTATGGTGAGCATGAAGAACCGGAGACCCTTTTTTTACTGAAAACGAGGCATTCCATCTTAGTTCTCACGGGTGACAACGCATCTGCATTTTGATTGTTATAATCAAACAGAACCTACGGCCAAAAAAATTAGTAGCTCAATGCTGCTGTGTTTCGTATGGTGAGTGTACAGAACCGGAGACCCTTTTTTACTGAAAACGAGGCATTCCATCTTAGTTCTCACGGGTGACAACGCATCTGCATTTTGATTGTTATAATCAAACAGAACCTACGGCCAAAAAAATTAGTAGCTCAATGCTGCTGTGTTTCGTATGGTGAGTGTACAGAACCGGAGACCCTTTTTTACTGAAAACGAGGCATTCCATCTTAGTTCTCACGGGTGACAACGCATCTGCATTTTGATTGTTATAATCAAACAGAACCTACGGCCAAAAAAATTAGTAGCTCAATACTGCTGTGTTTCGTATGGTGAGCATAGAGAACCGGAGACCCTTTTTTGAAAACGAGGCATTCCATCTTAGTTCTCACGGGTGACAACGCATCTGCATTTTGATTGTTATAATCAAACAGAACCTACGGCCAAAAAAATTAGTAGCTCAATGCTGCTGTGTTTCGTATGGTGAGCATAGAGAACCGGAGACCCTTTTTTACTGAAAACGAGGCATTCCATCTTAGTTCTCACGGGTGACAACGCATCTGCATTTTGATTGTTATAATCAAACAGAACCTACGGCCAAAAAAATTAGTAGCTCAATGCTGCTGTGTTTCGTATGGTGAGCATAGAGAACCGGAGACCCTTTTTTACTGAAAACGAGGCATTCCATCTTAGTTCTCACGGGTGACAACGCATCTGCATTTTGATTGTTATAATCAAACAGAACCTACGGCCAAAAAAATTAGTAGCTCAATGCTGCTGTGTTTCGTATGGTGAGCATAGAGAATCGGAGACCCTTTTTTACTGAAAACGAGGCATTCCATCTTAGTTCTCACGGGTGACAACGCATCTGCATTTTGATTGTTATAATCAAACAGAACCTACGGCCAAAAAAATTAGTAGCTCAATGCTGCTGTGTTTCGTATGGTGAGCATAGAGAACCGGAGACCCTTTTTTACTGAAAACGAGGCATTCCATCTTAGTTCTCACGGGTGACAACGCATCTGCATTTTGATTGTTATAATCAAACAGAACCTACGGCCAAAAAAATTAGTAGCTCAATGCTGCTGTGTTTCGTATGGTGAGCATAGAGAACCGGAGACCCTTTTTTACTGAAAACGAGGCATTCCATCTTAGTTCTCACGGGTGACAACGCATCTGCATTTTGATTGTTATAATCAAACAGAACCTACGGCCAAAAAAATTAGTAGCTCAATGCTGCTGTGTTTCGTATGGTGAGCATAGAGAACCGGAGACCCTTTTTTACTGAAAACGAGGCATTCCATCTTAGTTCTCACGGGTGACAACGCATCTGCATTTTGATTGTTATAATCAAACAGAACCTACGGCCAAAAAAAATTAGTAGCTCAATGCTGCTGTGTTTCGTATGGTGAGTGTAGAGAACCGGAGAACCTTTTTTTAAAGGAAACAGGGCATTCCATCTTGGTCCCCAAAGGTGACAAAGCAATTGATTTTTATTCGAGGAGGGATGGAGTTATAAAACTTATTCGTAAAAATCTGTATTTCGTCTTCATGACCTCAATTTTCACAATTGCCTAGCAGAACTAAGACGTATTATTTCATCCAAGTGCGTTTCAGTTTATCGGTTCAATAAAATTAAGAATCTCTAAGGTTGATTGCGTTGATTGTATTAATTAGTGTTGAAATATCCGTTCTTTTAACGCTTAAACGAACGGTTTGGTAAAGCTTTATACCATTTAATATGACTAAGTTCTGTATTTATTTATTTGATTTGTTTAGATGTCTATAAACCACAGCCTCCACTTACCATCGGTTGGACTGTGTGCTCGTTTGTCACCTTTATTCTTTAAAAAAACCTGATAACACAAAATAATAATAAAACGAGTTGTAGCAATGTTATGTACATGGCTGTATGTTTAGGGAATACGTGTACGTACCGAAACTATCTCAAAATGAAGGCGTTCCGTCTTCCGCCACGCACGATGCGTCACAGTTCTCACTCAACGTAATAAATTCTTTGATACTTTAGCTATCGAGTGGTGCAATTAAATTTCGGATGTAGATGATAGATATGTAGTTGTAACACTAAACTGTATCCCCCGATTTTGCCATCATTTTTCTGAATTGTCTCTCACTATGCAAGTCAAAAAACGTTAAAAAAGCGGCGGTTTTCAATCCTGGCAACCCTGGGACAACTGCTTTTAAATCACCCTATAAAGCAATCAAAAAGCAAAGCAAAGCCAGGACAAAAGTTGAGACTTTTTTTTTTTTGTTTTTTAAGTACAGCGTGACAATACAGCCCAATTCTTTTTCAAGAGAAGGCAAAGTACAGCTCAGACATTTATGTGCTAGAAAAGATATCTTCTACGTCAACTATTTTTTATAGAATAGGAATTACAAGCGAGCACACAGTCCACCTGATGGTAAGTGGACGCTGTGGCCCATAGACATCTACATCTATCCTCGATTGAGAATCAAAATGCAGTTGCGTTGTCCCCTTTTAGGACTAAGATGGAATGCCTTGTTTCCATTAAAAAAGGTTTCCGGTTCTCTGTACTCACCATACGAAACACAGCAGCTTTAAACTGCTATTTCACACTGCTATTCTGTGAGAACGTGGTCCTTCCCTGATCGAGCAGACCCATTCGTGCTACAACCATAATATTGCTTCAGAGTGGTTCTACTATTTATGAACACCCGACAACCGAGTTCACAGCCCACTCGATGGAAAGTGGACGCTGTGGCCCATAGACATCTCCATCTATCCTCGATTAAATATCATTTGCTTTGTCACCTTTGAGGACTAATATAGAAATGCCTTGTTTCCTTTAAAAAAGGTTTTCCGATTCTCTACACTTACCATACGAAACACAGCAGCATTAAGCTGCTATTTTTTTGATTATAGGTTCTGTTTGATTCGGAACGTCAACAAAAGTAATTGCAATCATCAATACTTTGATGCGACCTTGGTCAAGTGAATGAATCATTCACGATTGACACATTTCTAGTTCTAAGTATCGATAGTTCACATGCGTAGACATTTAATATACAAAATCGCACCACTTTTAAATATCAAATTCCACTTCAAACCATTATTTAAACATTAATACAGGAGCAGCAATATGGCGACGGTCAATTTGGCGCCAAAACTCTTAAATAACTATTGCTGTAAACTTCTGTCGGGTAACGTAGGGGTCGAACTTCGATTTTCTATATGGTCGCTTAATTAAGACTAGGCTAACGAGACTGTCTCAAAATTGATTGACGCTGAAAGAATTGGTAAAAGGAACTTTTATTTTGGGATAAAAGTCAGCCAGCTTCCGCGAAAAGGCGAGCAATTTGAAATGCTTCATCTAATGATGGCATCTACGACTAGGGATGTTCGATGATCATCGATATTCGATGATCATCGATGTTAGAAATTAAAACATCGATGTTGCCACATGCACACCACAGCTTAAACATCGAAACATCGATGTTGCCACATGTCAAACGTCGATGTCAATGAACTAATAATCGATTAATAAGAACTTGTGAACAATGCGAACTCGCGAAATCAACATCAACTAAATATTTCATTTCCTATTAAAGGTTTAAAATTTTGAATAATTAAGGATTCCTAAATGCATTGATCACCTAAAAATATCATTATGTTGTGTCAAGCTCCCTGTCAAGTGTGAACTGTAATGTCACAGTTGTAACTTTTTCACGTGGTAGAGCCATGCTGCAGCTATATTAATTGTATAGTTGTTGCACGAATGGGTCGGCTCGACCGGGGAAAGACCACGCTCACACAGAATACCAGCGTCAAATAGCAGCTTAATGCTGCTGTGTTTCGTATGGTGAGTGTAGAGAACCGGAGACGCTTTTTACTGGAAAAGAGGCATTCCATCTTAGTTCTTAAGGTTGACAACGCATCTGCATTTTGATTCGCAAACGAGGATAGATGTAGATGTCTATGGGCCACAGCAACCACTTATCATCAGGTGGGCTGTGTGCTCATTTGTCACCCTTTTACTATAAAAAAACTGCTTTTGCTTTGTTATTGTGGTGTCGTTGTCGGTTGTCGCCTAATAACTATTCTACATAAATTGATATTCAAATTAATTTTTTTCCCCTTGCTGTCTATACACACATAATTTTGAAACAATATGTATCTACACAATTTAATTATATTTAGCTGTTTTTGAGCTTGGGATAACAAGTTTATTGATTGCTTGAAGTTTATGAAAATAAATCACTGGGCGATCGTGAGCGTAGACTATTTCACTGCATAATGCATTCCACAGTGCATTTTATAAACGGCTGTGGATACTTTCTGCTTGGGCTGCCTGATTAAAAATTGTGTAAACCAAAGTGACGGAAAAGTCTATTATTTTGTTTTTGTGAAGTTTGTTAATTTTCCTTCTATAATATTTTTTTTTATTTCGCGATAGGAGTAGTTAATATAAAACCTACGTCTAAATCGTAAATTAGGATAGTAAATTTTTTAATACCAGATTTATAATTGTATACGAATAATATTTATCATTATCGGCAAAAAATGTAAGAAATAACGAAATATTAGTTAAGTTTTTCCAATTTTTCAAATTACTGTTTCACACTAAATGTTTTATTAATTTCATTAATAATAAACCATAAAAACACTATTCATTTTGTGTTCATCTAATTTTAACCTACTAAATAGGTACATGTGATATAACATCGATAATGGCCAACATCGATGTTTTGAGTAGGATAAACATCGAACATCAATGTTAAGCTATCGATATCAACATCGATGTCATCATCGATGTTTTTGTAACATCGATCATCCCTATCTACGACATTTACGGCCACCAGGGCGGCGCCACTTAAAAACGAGATATTTGACCATGGAGGTTAGAGAACAAGAGAACGATCACTACGTACTAAAGCACAGCCCGCCTGTCCTTGAAAATTGTAGAATGGGCGCTGACGTTGGTGAGTAGTGACTGCGAAGTTAGCTGTATATGAGTACAAATAGGTGAAGTTAGTTTAATAATGTACAAATTTTCTTTGCGGCATTGGTGAGAACATTTTTATGTTTCGTAAGTTTTTAATTTTTGACAAAAAGAAACATTAAAAAACGGAGAAATATTTTATTGTGCGTGAATATGCAAGTGGTTTAGCATCTGATCGGAAAAATAGACTGAAAATGACTTTTATTGAGCGAACTTAGTGATCGCAGCGCCTCACTGATGGTGTCCATATTTCTGGGACACTATTTTCTACGGCGATCGTTTTCCTGTTCTCTAACCTCAATGATCAGTGCACCGACTGTACGATTTTTGTATTAATTTTTATAGAACCAGCATTGTGGCGATCACCTCATTTCCAGGGGTTTATTTCATTTATGTATTCTTTAATATTATAATGACCCTTTTTGTACAATTTTTCTTTAATAAAACAGGACTGAGTGAAATATTTGAAAGCGGGGAAGTTAGATTCTTTGAAAAGTGTAATGTTTAGTGTTTCTCCCTGAAATATTAGTTATATTTTATTTTAATTACATTACAAATGAATAAACCAAACTATGGATAGTTCTAAAAGTATAAGAATTAAAAGTGGAGTCAAAAATGTACAAGAAATTAGCGCACACCACTAAGACATTGTTTGGTGTGTAATAGGCGACTTTCTAATGGACATGAGAATGATAAACAATTTCACCTCATTCAAACTAACGACATCTGGTGGGCAGAATTTGGGTCCAGAACATAAGCTAACATTTATAGGAGGACAAAGTGGGACAAAAATAAATTTATATGGTTCTATTTCATTTTGCAGGTTCCGTGACGTCTCTAAGCAGCGGTGAGGGCACACACAGTGATGAAAGAAGTCAACAAAATCACCAAAATGGCTTACCTGACACAGTCCCTGATGTCCAGGTGAGCTTTGAATTAAAAATATATTTTTTTTTAATTTAATTGAACAATGAACAAGAAAGGATCAATCAGAGAGGAATGAAGGGTGTATTGTGAAATCGGGGAATCGAAATAAATTTTATTATGAATTGAAGATTTACCATTAGGTGGACCGTCCGCTTCTTTGTCACAATATTATTAAAAAAAAGACACATAATATACTTAAACATATTTTTATCGAAATTTAGTTAGTAGATTTAATACGGTGGGCACACTAAATTAAATGATGTTGGGGAAGTAGACTCATACAGATCTAGCGGACACAGAACCTGGATACATTTTTATATAATAATAATAATATGGGAGGCACAATGCGGATTTAGACCTGGAAGAGGATGCACGGATCAAATGTTTTCTCTCCGCATGATCACGGAGAAGCTTCTGAGTGTTAACCAGAAGATTTTCTGTGCTTTTGTGGATCCGGAGAAAGCATTTGATAAGGTTATAAGGAAGAAAATGTGGGAACTGTTGCCGAAATATGGTGTGGATGGTCAATTGTTAAGGGCTGTGCAGTCACTTTACTATGACTGTAAAGCCTGTGTGCGGGTAGGGCATGACCTGTCACCCATGTTTAGCGTCCAAGCGGGCGTAAAACAGGGTTGTGTCATGTCTTCCTGGCTGTTCATACTGTATCTCGACAGCTGTTTACAGAAGCTGAAAAATAGCTGTTTGGGTGTGAAATTGGGTGACATTGAAGTAAATTGTCTGCTTTATGCTGATGATGCAGTGCTTATTGCACCATCAGAAGCAGAACTGCAGGCATTAGTCACGTGTATGAAAGAGGACTGTGAAATTAAAGATTTCCGTTTGAATGCTAAAAAAACTAAGGTTCTGGTATTTGAAAAGGACGAAGAGAGAATGAAATGTGAATATGGGTAAATCAGGAATGTCTAGAACAGGTAAATGAAATTGTATACTTGGGGAGTGCTTTCAGCCGGGATGGAAGATGTGATTTAGATGTGGACAGGCGTGTCGCTGCCGGGAACAAAGTCAATGGTGCCCTGAATGCGTTAGTCAAAAGGCAAAGCGTCGTGAAGAGTGCACGCCTTGCAATACATAACGCAGTGTTGGTGCCGACTTTGTTATATGGCAGCGAAACCTGGGTATGCCAGAAGAAGCATAAAAGCAAGTTGAATGCAGTGGAGATGCGATCTCTTCGTAAAATGTGCGGCGTTACCATAGCCGACCGAAAGCAAAACGAAGAGATTCGCAATATGGCAGGATTGAAAGATGATCTTATCACAAAAATTGATATGGGCGTACTCCGATGGTTTGGGCACGTTGAGCGAATGAGTGAAGACCGAATGGTAAAGAAAATATATAGCGCGAAAGTAAATATTAAAAGGTGTCGAGGTAGACCGAGACTAACTTTCGAATACCATGTGAGCAAATTACTCGAAGAGGGGAAGGTCAAGAGTGCTCGGACGTAGACGTGTATGAAGAAGTTAATGAACCTGAAAGAAGCGAAAGAGGTATGTAAGGATCGTGACACTTGGCGATCTGTTCTCTCTGGCTACCCCGTTAGGGATTGTGCGGGAAGATAAGTGAAGTGAAATAATAATAATGTCCCCCAGACCGAATTTCAATCACGGCGGCCGGTCTTAACGGAGAACAGCCATCTACGCGCGACATTACAGTGTCAGAGCGTATGCGCGAGCACAGGTGCGCACTATTCTCTCACTCTCACCTTTTTCTCTCTCGGACACGACCGGAGAGAGATCAGGCGAAGGACTAACGGTTTTACGTGTTTTACGGGGTTGAAGCACCACCAACTTCTTGACTCCGGGCTGCTACTGACAATTCCTAGGCAGAAAAACCGAACCGTTTTTGGTCCGACCCGGGATTCGAACCTGGAAACTCCTGGTAGTCGCGCTTACGGTCACTCGACCAACTGGGCAGTCAGGCAGGCCGTTTATATTTTAAGAAAGTAACAATGAAACTAATAATTTATTTATTTATTTACACTTTATTGCACCTTAATAAAAAGGAATACAAAGAGCGGACTTAATGCCTTTAGGCATTCTCTCCCAGTCAACACGGGACCTGATGAAATTAATGAAAAAAGTAAATCAGGCTTAAAACTACTGATAATCTCAAAAATAAACTAATATTATGTACATATGTATAAATTCAATAAACTCATATATTACAAAGTTTAATACATACACTACCAATATATAATATAAATATTTACATGCAAATACACAGATACGTAAATAAAAATATGTATATATTTTAAATACAAATAGATATATAACATAAAACCTATAAATAAAATAACAACAAAAGTAACCAAATTGACCATATTAACTATCATCTAATATCTTCATAAAGTGCTTATGTAACAATCTTTTAAAGGCAGTCTTCTTAGATGTGGTTTCACGTGGTAGTAAGGAGCTAATGTAGCCTATAGTCACCTACGTTCAAACTAAGAATGTTAGAGAACACATTCGCACGCTAAACCTGTGAAAATTACAACAGTGGGGGAATTACCGTTCGGCGACAAACCGTGTAGTGGCGGTGCAAGAATATCTACTACCCTATATCGTCCCGTGGGTGTCGTAAGCGACGACAGAGAGAAACAATTCAGGAGATTTCATACGTGGTAGAGCCACCTTGCCATATTATGGTTGTAATACGAATGGGTCGGCTCGATCAGGGTAGGACCACGCTCTCGCAGAATACCAGCGTATAATATCAGCTCAGTGTTGCTGTGGTTAGCATGTTGAGTGTAGAGAACCGGAGACTCTTTTTACTTGATACGAGGCATTCCATCTTAGTCCTCAGGGGTGCTAACGCATCTGCATTTTGATTCTTATTTAAGAATAGCTGTAGATTTCTACGGGACACAGCAACCACTTACCATCAGGTGGACTGTGTGCTCGTTTGTCACCCTATCCTATATAAATAAAATTGGTTAACTTGCAATGCAAAGCGCTCCAAATTTCTCCAAATTATGTTGCGAAATCTTGAAGTTATGTTTTAAAAAAAAAAAACGTTATTTTTTTCAAATTCCTTCTTCGTCAATATCTCACGAACGAATTAACCGATTTTTATTTTCCAAACGGCATTCGACATCATTTTTTGAGGTTAAGAGCTGATTGGTTTTACAAATCGATCGGTAAAGTCGTTTAAAAGTTATTCCAAAAAAACAGTTTTACAAAAATTTTATTTTTGAGATTTCTCTAAATCTACTCGTCCGAATCAATTCATATTATCACCAAATCTATTCCACATTGAGATCTTTAGAACGATCTTAGTCGATCAAGACGTTCAAAAGTTATGAAAGGTTTACATACTTACTAAAAGAATATAATCGGTATTTCCTACTAAAAGAATATAATCGGTATTTCCTATTACAGATCAAGTATCCAAGTTTATTATATAAAATATTTTACAAGGTTAGATTTTCACATATTTTTTGTCTTAATTCATATCGTTAATACTTAAAAAATTGTAGATTGTTACGTAACGGAATAGAGTATTATAGAATATACTCGTAGATGTAAAATTAGTAGTCGTGTACATGCAAAAGTGTGTAGTTTTTGCTTATTAAATAATTTTTGAATATAAGATTTTATATAATTTGATGTTTCAGTCGTTTTTAAGCCGAAGACTAAATTGACAAAATGTCAAATTTGATATTTTACGTGGTGGAGCAAAGCTGCAGCTATACTATGGTTATAGCACGAATAGGTCGGCCCGTCCGGGGTTTTACTCGACAGGGGTGAGACTTAAAAATTTGGATATCCACATTAGAACCAGAGTACCGACATAGTACAACACGGACATAATACAAGGGATTGGTAAGCTGAAGTGTCAATAACCTGGCCATATAGCTCGAAGAACCGACAACCGATGGGGGAAAAGGTTCTCGAGTGGCAGCTTCGTACCGGTAGGGCGACCCCCCCACTAGATGGAGTGACGACCTGGTAAGACACGTAGGAAGTCGATGGATGCAGGTGGCTCAGGACCGTGCTTTGTGCCATTACTTGGGGGAGGCCTATGTTCAGCAGTGGACTTGTGAAGGGCTGTGATGACGATGATGATAAAAAATTATATATTTTCATTTAATTTATTTGCTCAGGGCATGTAACAATATTGTTGCGCGGCTAAGTTGACATCTGGCACTAGCCCCATCTAGTGTCGGGTAACAGAGCAAAGAGAGCTTTCCAGAAAATGACATCACTAATCTTTCAACCGACAGCGCCATCTAGTATCGAATTGAAGAACTAAGCTTTCTGGAAGCACCAAACTCGAACTTTCTGCGCTTGGTCGGATGGCGCGCGTATTTACTCGAATATTCTGGATGTTTTCGTGGAAGAGCCCTATATAAAGGCGCTGCAATATGCGATCGGGGAAGTATTGAATTTGGCGAGACAAGCGAAGCTTCTTCGGAGCGGAATAAAGTGAATCAGTGTGATTAATTATTAGTGTTGTAAGTTTAAATTTGTGTAAAGATAATTAAAGTGTTAATTTAGGTAATTTTATCGGCAATTTTTACTGTCACGAACCTCAAGCTCGTAACAATTGGTGTCAGAAGTGGGATAAAATCATGCCGATTTTACCTAAGGAGGAAACTGAGGGTGTCCGTACCCGAAGTTAACGCCAGCAGGAGACGGACCAAAGAAGATTTGGTGGTGCAACGCCGCAGACGTCGGAGGGCCAGCCACCGGCTGCAGGCACGTCAGTAGCTCCTACATCTGCACCTGACTTAGGTGCTCTGATGGTGATGCTGCAGGAACAGGCCCGTTGGTTGAAAGAGCAGCAGGAGGAACAGGCTCGCCGACAGGAGGAACAGGCTCGCCAGCAGGCGGAACAGGCACGCCGATTGGAAGAGCAGCTGCGGGGCGGACAGGAGGAACAGGCTCGTTGGTTGAAAGAGCAGCAGGAGGAACAGGCCCGCCGACAGGAAGACCAGGTTCGTCGTTTGGAGGAGCAGCTGCGGAGCGGACAAGAGGAAC